TTTACACGTACTGCACAGGCACTCGCTCTTATTTTCCGAGGGAGCTATTCCAACAGACCAGGCTATATAGTCGTTTAGCACCTCCAGTAAAAGATGCATCATCTTACTCACTGCCTTTAAGGATATGTGGGCGAAATGTTCACACCTATGCAACAGAGGTTTCGCAGCATCAGCCTTTGTCTTGCACCCAAAACCACTGAATTGAAAAATCAGTAAACAGAATCATTTTAATAATATGTTATGATCACAGCGGGTGTCGTGGTGATAGGGGCTACGTTCTTCAAAGAGCCTCGAAACTATACTAGCGTAAACCTTAGATTCTGCTGAAGAATGGGCCACCCATGCTGGACATATCTGAGGCGAGAAGTAAAATCAGTAGCTATCAACTAATCTTACTATAACAAGTGTGACTTTCACATTTTGGACAACAGAATGATGACAAAATCAAGGAATTCTTATACGGCATCGGTCTCGGTCTTCGTGCAGGATGAGCTGGACCAAAGCGCAGAATTAGCCGCAGGATCTGTGAGGTCAAATCTACTGCAGTGCACCGTGGAGATGCCGAAGAGCAACAGTGGTGGAGGTCCTTTAAAAACAACTGTGATAAGTTATGACACAATACTCACCACGTACGGCTTCCATAATGAAGAAAAATGACAAACGAAGAATGAGCACTAAGACCTGCATGCAAGACGTTACGTGTCACTTTCATGGGTTAATTATAAAAATTTAATTCGGCATCGCAAAATATGATTCCCCGTTTAATTCGGTATTGCATTTATAACTGCCGAAAGTAGTGCGAATGCACAAGGTGGATGTCAATATCGTTGCCCCGATGGTTTATTTCATGGAGACTTTACTACGTGTTAGAAGAAGTTCATATCTGTATGAAAAGAGAAATGATCCAAATCAGAAAAGGCATATTCAGGCAAAGAGCCTCAGTTCTATTTCTTTCTGTTTAGCATTAAACTCACTTAGTAATCTGTGGAAGAAATCATGATACGGGTAAGTTACCGGGAAAGAGCCACTTTGCATGAAACGGAGTTTTCAATCAGTGTCTACTCGCAGTGCGTATTCATAAACTGTAGCCTATTCAACTCAGCATGTGAAGATGTACGTTGGGAGTAACAAGAAATGATTGGAAGACGAAGAAATGCTAAGAGCACAAACAAGAGTCTGCGATGTCACTGACTCAGTGAAAAAGTTAAGGTGGCAATGGGTAGGATATGCTGCAAAAAAATCGACCATCACTGGATCAGAGACGTTAGGCTGAGTATCAAACGAGATTAGACGGCAGACAAATGAAAATGGCAGAAAACAAGATTATGATAAAGTCGTGTACAAGCTGGTGATGATGATTCGTCCTTGCACAGAGCTGCTGGAAAGCTCGCAGCAGTCATCTGCTAATAACAGCAATAAACGGCTAGACTTACTGTATACAGTGGTAGCGTGCACGCAAAATGTCAGACATAATTCGACATACCTATAAATGAGGGCAATTTATACGACTACTAAAATTACACAATAATCTAACGTGCGTTGAGAAGATGCGCTACTGTAGCTTGTAAGTTTGCTTTTCCGATCATTTCATGAATACTCAGGCGAGAAGAAACGCCGCTAAGAATACTTAACTGAGATGCAGACGGTAAGACCCAAAGAAATGAACGAAATATTAAGCTTACTGCTTGGATGGGATCACAAACGAATTAAAATTTTTCAGAAAAAGAAAATAGAAAGAAACATAATCTATGTAAATATCAAGAAACAGTTCTATTTGTGCGCTTAGAAGTAACAAAACAAACGACCTAGGGATGAAACTAATACAAAACGACTCAGAGATTCGCCACAGTATGTTATGCAAAAAATGCGTGCGTTTCTTTAAGACATTCTGACCCATACGAATGTCATGATAAACCGCTAAATCAGCCACGAGTCCCAGTAAATCATGGAGTGCAAAGATGTCTATTCTAGAGAACTGTTTCAATGATCACGTTAACGCCTTGAAATCGTATTTCAGCGAGTTTGGTAAGATCGCTCATGATTCATAGTTTAAATGGCAGAATACCTGCAAAGATAAATTTCCAAATGGCGGCAACATTTCACATCGTACGAGACCTTCAGTTGGAAGCGATTCATCACGATAGCAAGAAGTATATCTAATACACCACCCTAATAAAAATTAATAAATAAGCCTGCAAACCTGAGTAAACATGGCAATCAACAAGAGACTAACTAACTCTAAGGAAGAAGCTATGAAGAAGCTAAATGCACATAAGGTACCGATG